GTCATGCTCCATCAAAAACAGTGCAGCTAACGGGAACAGAGCCAAAGGAGTGATCCAAACAGTAAGAAAAGCCCAGCTGTGCTTCATTAACTCGAAAAATACAGATTAGTTTTGCTGTTACCCCATGCTAATGACCAAAGTCACTCAAACTCCACCTAAGCATGAAATGCATCAGCTGTAACTTTACCTTTTCTCCTGCCTCAAAGAAAATAATATATAAAATAGTTACATATAAATAAATTTTGTAATATAATATAGAATTTTTGCTATGCATAAAATAACGTAGATAAATAATTGTATGTAAATAAATATATGAATAATATTAATAGTGGTCAGATAGGGAAGGAGGTCAGAGGAGTTACCATCTCAGCTTTCAGGGGCTGAACCTGTCTCTGTCCCACAGGGATGTCCATTGGGAAAGAACCTTACTCTAAGTGGTTACCTCAGGCTTTCATTGGGGATCAGAGCTTGTCTGTTTATAACTCCCAATTTTATTTTCCACTCTTTTGCAACCACCAGTGACTGGAAACTCCTAAGGTAGCTCAGAGGCTCCCCTGTCCAGTCCTGGGGGCTGGAAAACCCAGTTTGTGCTGTCCTTATGGTCTGACTGGACACTTTCCTGCTGCAGCAGGTTCTGGGAATTGCCCTAGAGTCATCTGTTCTTCAGACAGATCCAAACCTGTTTTGGTAAGAGAGACAGGAAATGGATAGTAGTCAGAATATGGCAGGGAACAGTCTTGCTCCTGCTTTTGGTGTAGGGTGAGCCTCTGTAGTCAGACAATTCTCCTTCATCCAAATACAGCAGTGCTGCTTATGGATCTCAGGCTCCTTGGAAAGATGGAGCAGCTCCAGCCTAGCAGAGGCCCCAGCAAGATCACAGGGAGAGGAAATCATGGTTGGAAGGAACAATGTAAAAAATACCCTTTTTTGGTACGAGCACAATTATTCTACCAACACACTGTGCTGGAATTACTCTTAAATTTGTTTCACCAAACACACACTCCGTGTATTCATTTATTCTTCTCTTTTTTTAGCAACCTCTTATTTGGAGGATTGTGGAGGAAGAGCAGCACATGAGAAAGGTCTGTGTGAGTGAGCAAGGGAAGTCCACACACTATGGCTGAGTAGGATCAAGGCAGGGTTGTGGTTCCCCACAAGGACTCAATAATGAGATTTTGTTCCCAAAACAGATTAGCTGCCATTTGTTTTCTCTCTCTGCAGGGGTTGTTTTTTTGTGTGCTGAAAATGGGATTTAAGGGAGGAGAAAACCTGCATAGAAACTGCTCCAATCCAGAGAGGATGAGCATCAGCCTGCATGAGATGAGACCTCACAGGAACTTCTCTTATTAAGGTGGGCTTGGATTTGGGTGCAGGATGAAATATAAGATGCACTTATCTGTGTGAGACAGCTCTACATCCCAAAGCTATAGGAGCAAACCTGCAGCATCCCTCAGGCATGAAGCTGAGCAGAGCAGCACAGAAATCTGCAGCCCTCCAGTTCTACTGTGCTTTCTGCATATCCAAGAGCCTTGTTTTCCCCACTTTCAGTCCTGACGTGTTGCTGCACCTCAGGGCAGGTTACTCTTAACTGCACATTTAGATTCAAATCATTAAAACATAAAATTATGTCAGAATTCATTATTTCTAGCAGTATCAACTCATGGTCTGTTGTGCCCTTTGGGGATTTTGTGCGTATCCTGCCTTCTCCCCTCGTCCCACATTAGCTGTTGGTTGCAGAGGGATGGGAGAGGGAGAGCAAAGCATGTTCCTTCCCACTGTAGATGTGTGTGCTGGAGTTAGCCCTGAATGCAGAGCAGGATTAGCTGTGTGTATAGTTGTTTCCTGCGAAAAGGAGAGGCTGAGGGACACAGACAACATGGGTTGGGCAACAGTGTGTTTGCTCACACAATTGCCAAAGCTGGTCTTGGGCGTGCACTGAGGTGCTGTGGCTGCTGAGTCAGGGATGTGCTTCCCCATTCTGCCAGGCAATTCCCTTCTGTGTGAGGAATTCTGGACGTTCTGCAAAATAACTATTCTTAGCTAGTCCTCTGAGCTAGTCACAAGTGAGGGGTGTGCAGGAAGTGTTAGTGTGTTGTGGGTTCTCTTCCCTTTCCATGATCCTGAGAGGCTGAGGCAGCCCAGGGCTGTGTCTGTCCAGTCAAGGAGACACAGGGCAGCCTTGATCAAAAAATAAAACTATCCCAAGGGATTGCACAGATCGAGAGCCATAATGAGAGGATTCAGCCACCCCCTTGCAAAGGCAGCATGAGGTGAAACGTTTTTGGTCTTTTCTTTCTCCATGTTGGCTGCTGTGGCCTGGGGCAGTGATGCCTCTGGCAGGTAGGAGCACATGCCTGATTGATCCAGCTGTGACTGTTCAGGGGCATAAAAGAACTTTAGGGGAGCTAAGTTAAGGAGTGGAGAACACTGCTTTTAATGTCTTTCTTCTAAAAGCTCCTGGATTAAAATTTAGGTAATTTATTGCTTATTTAGCTAATGCTTCACAGGAAGGTTGTAGGGAGGAATCTGGGTACAAGACTGTTCCAAGAGAGCAGAAAAAATCTGCATAGAAGACTCTTCCCCACTTTTCCTGTTCCCTCTCGCCTTGCTAAACCATCAGAAATCCAGATAGGAGCAAGAACAATGACTGTGTATTTAAATGCCAAATCATGCTGCTGCTGCTGTTCTGGGTATCTGCTAGATGAGACCCTAAGCCACGTCCTGTTGCAGCAGCCCAGTCGTTCAGGGAGGTATTTCAGGCAGCATTTGACTAGTCATATGCCTTGTGGCTGGCCAGTTTCCACCCGGAAGTAGTCACAAATTCCTGTGCCTTGCACAAAGGCTGCAGAAAAGGGGAACTCTGTGCCCACCACATAGTGACCAACTGTTGCTACAGACCAAAGGGTTGTGTGGGTATTGGCCATTACCAACTTGTTCTGCCTATTGTAAAATGACTATTTTATAACTGTAATGGAAATCTACATCAGATCCGGTTTGTGTCAACTATCTGATCCTTCCCAACTTACTTCTAGGAAAGTCTATTTCTATTCTTTATGAGGTAGATGTGCTACTGGGAACTGCCCCTGATGGCAGGAAACGTTCAGCAATTACATGAAGGTAATTCCTACAGTGCTAAATATAAATTAATAAATAGGATGTCCTAGGAGAACAGCCCAGGCTGGGAGAAGAAATAACACTGAAAAGAGGGTGAGGTACTGTGACAGAAGAACACAGTGAAACTGAGGTAATGCTGGTGGTGGACAAAGTACGAGCAGTAGAAAACCTATGAGTGGTGTTGAGGAAGTGTTGGCTTCAGCGTTTACTTCTGTTGGCAGCTGAACTCCTCACTTGAAGCTTCAGTTATTATTGTGCCTTTCTCAAGTTGACAGTTTATACCTTGACAGTGCTGGCAGGATGTGTCACACATGAGTCAACAGAAATGCAAGACAAGAATTTAATCATTAAAAGTTTATCGATAACCTCTTATATACACATAGTTATACACAAAGTGGTTCACGAGTCCCTCAGCTTGGAAAGCTGTGCTGGTGAGGCCTTGGTCAGCTCACAGATGGCTGTTCCCATGGGAAATGCCAGAATCTGGGGCTTGGCTGTCCTCAGCTGGGCACAGAGAGGAGCCCATATTCATCTGCTGTATCTAGGATTTTACAGATGACTGGAGACTCCACCTGCAACAGAGAGAGCTGAACATTAGGGACTATGAAATCCCAACTGCGGGAATCTTGGAAAGAGTCACTGGAAGGAAGGGGCCACCTTACACATACCCCTGGAGCTCTGGCACCTGCTCTCAGGGAATTCAGGTGTCTCTTTACATACCCCAAGGATGTATTGGCAAGAATGAGGCTCTAACATGTAGATGGTCACAGCATGAGGGGAATCTGATTCTTTACATCTGAAAGCAGAAGAGAAATGAGGGTTTGTAGCATGTAGTAAGCACAAAATAACACATGTATTTCACTGCTATGTGCAGCATTTCTACTAAGTTTACAGTTGTAACAGCAGCTTTCCCCTCTGACACAGCAAACAGACACAAAACCTGGGTGTACTAAGAGTTCACTTACTTCAATTTCACAGTCACCTGCCTTGGCTTGTCTGTCAAGTCACAAACATCTCCATTTCCATAGAAATGAGACACCATCCTGCCACAAAGGATTGGAATGAAAGAGTCTGGAGTTATTGAACAGGCAGCTTAGTGGTGGGATCTAGTACCTCATAATTTGTCAAGTATTTAATATACAAATAGCAACCGGTTGTATTGTAGAAGCAAAGGGTTGGTCAGTAGTGGAAGATTTTTCTCTGCAGCCCTGGGCCCTGGCACTGACTCTCCTCTGTCCCAGCTGAGAGGCAGAGCAGTGTCCCTGTACCTGACTGTCTGGGTGCCATCCTCTCTCAGGTAGTAGGTCCTGGCAGCGTTCTTCCTCGACCACTCAATGTGTTCCTCCTTGCTCCAGGTACCCACCACCACAGAAGTCTTGCCACTTTCCTTATCCTAATAAGGCAAAACTGATCATTACATCAGGTACAGAGGATTTATTTTCTGAAATCCAACCTCTTAAACCCAGCCAAGAAAAGACATGTCTTTCCCCAAATTCTCTAACCCTTTCCTTCCCATCCCTCTATTAAATGCACTATAGAACTAAAATAACTAAAAGAGCTATTTAAACTCACTTCATGGTACTGATGAACATATTTGCCATAGCAGAATTCATATTTCCACCAGCCAACACCCTGGGGAGAAGTACACTCAGTGTTAAAAAAACAAGCAGCAGAACCTGTTAAAACAACCAAAACACTCCCGAAACAACCCCATTCATTTCCCTCCAGCCCCTAAACCAGCTATTTTAGCTGTAAATTCCATCCCTGTTAATTAACAGAATTAGCCTTGATGGAGCCTCATTATCTACATGATTTCTCAGCTCAAATAAATTCAATTCCAACAGAAAGGTTAAAGATAAAAACTAACCAAACACATAAACCAGGATGTAGCTATTCCATTTAATTACGGAGTAGCTAGTTATTCCATGTAGCTTTGTTCCTCACCCCATGGAAGCAGTAGGAGCCACTAAGGAATTCCTTTATGAGCTGCTCATCAGTGAGTTTGGAGATGTGGGTTGTTCCCACTGTGAGCAGCTGGTGGCTTCCCACAGCCACAGGCTTGTGGATGGAAGAGAAAGTCTCTTCTTTTGTTGAAGGCATTTCTTCCTGAAATGAAAGGATACAATGAGGTCCCCTTATAAACTCCACAAAGTTACTGAACACTGAGTGAAGTTGGGTGTTTGGGTCAGTTCTCACTGTCTTCTGCATAGCTGAAAGAAAATTCTACTCAAAACTTTCACATTTACAGACTGTGGGCTACAAAAGTTCTAAACTGGTAGCCCAAACTTGCTCTGTTTTTCTTTCAAATAAGGTGAGTTACAGGTGGCTTCAACAAACTTAAAGACTGACACCATCTTGCAGAGTTGGGTAAGAGAACCGACTTGAGGGAACTCAAAGCTCTATGCATTAAACATAAAATACAGATTTTTCTATTAAAATGATACAAATCCTACCTCCTTAACCCTCCTAAATGGCATCTTGAGCATTTCTTGCTGCTTCTCCAGCTGTTCCAGGTTGTGTGGCTTCAGTGGGGATCCTGGCAGAGACTGGCAGAAGATGTCATTCACAGGGGAAGCCCTGAACCTGTATGGACACAGCACTGATTACACCTTCCAGTAAAGAAACCATTTTGTTGCGGTGTCTGAGTGGATGAGGTAACAGGTGTAAGGGAAAGCACTGGTAGCTGAGGGACTGCTCAGTGCTGCTTCAGGAACACATGACAGGTGAAAAAAAATGTATTTAACTTCAAATTGGGTTTGTGATCTCTATGGTGCCACTGAGCAGCATTTCCAGCCTGCCACCTCCACCCTTCCTTATTTACTAAGGAGACAATGATGATCCTGTATGTTTATTTTAAGTATTTCCTGCCTCTGGCCAGGAAGCCTTCCATGCCTTCTCTTTGGAAGGAGGCAGCTTATTCTTATCAAGTAGCAGAACAATTTGCCTGTGCACTTTCTATTGATTTTTGTCCTGATCCAGAGGCTTAAAAGACTACATAGTCAACAGATAATAGATAAGTGCAACACATAACAGTATGACCAAACTCACCCACATGATCCCCCTTGTTTGTATGTCATATTCCCTTTGCAGTTCTCTTTACAGCCCTTGAAAGGTCCAAAATCTGTGCAATTGAGACTAAAGATATTCCTGATACATGGTACAGCTCAGGGAAGGGGAGGAAAAAAGAATCCTACACTTGATTTTTGGAAAATAACACTGAAATTGTCAATTCTTCCTAAGAAAATGACTTTCACAGCTGCAGAGAAGGCAGTAAAAAGCAGGACAGAGGCAGATGGGAGCTCCTTGGGATAAATGGTAAGGTTACAGCTGGAGACCAAATTTTGGTTTTGTACGTATTTTGAAGTCTATGCACACTATGGTCTCTGCAGTCTTCAAACACCATGAAGATAATACCTCAAGACCTTGAAATCACAAGCTAAGAGAAGATAAAATGTTCTTGATGTGCCTTTAATGCACAGTTCGTGCTTCTCCAGGGCTAGAAATGTCCCTGTTGAAAACCAAGTCCTACTTCCCACCTGGGATCAAGCAATTGACAAACAAGACAAAATGCAAACATTGTGCAACTTCATACGCAAACAAACCACATGTGCCAAAGTGAGAACACACAACTGCCACAGCTCTGCAGCAGCACCCACAGGGGCATGTGTGACTGACAGAACTGGCCAGGCAGGGTCAGTGTGAAGCAAAATCTGAGCAGGGTACCTGTATTTCGGGTGGTTACACAGCAGTGGTGTCAGTATAACCACTTCATATTCACAGGTGGTCACTTCTGCTACTGAGAGGATCTCATGTTTGGCTTCTGGGTGACAGATGTACATCACTGTGCTTGACCTGGGGAGGTTCTGTCTCAAGCTACAAGGTGTGCCATTGCCCATCTCCACAGGGTAATAGGGAGTCATTTGGCCTTCAATGTTCTTGGTAGGTATCTAGGTGAGAGAAGGCAATAGGTCAGCATCAGTGCAAAGCTCCTTTGACTCTTCCGAAAGGGAAAATGTTATCCCTGTGTGCAGAGGAATGGACTGAAACCAGACCCTGTGTAGCTGCTTGGTGTTTCTGCAACAGCCAGACCTTGCTCTGATGTTCACTCTGTAGTCAAGGAGAGGGAAGTAGCTCAGTCAGACTCAGCTCAGGTCTGGCCAGGCACATCACCTGCAGCACCAGGCCCTGAAGGATCCAGCACCACCCTTGCAGAGTCACCCTGGTCTGCACTACACTTCTTGGTATTTCCAGCCCAGGGTCTTCCTTATCCGGAGTATCCCACACCACCCGTGGCTGTGACTAACACAGTTAATGCTATATACAAACAAAATCTCACTTGCTGACACCTCTAAGTCTCCTCAGGTTTGTTCCTTCATGTTTCAGCCAGCTACCACTTTAAGAAATTAATTCCCTAAGGTGGTAAAGGCCCTCTCCTGGCTCCCATCTTGGAAGCAGCTGGAGTTCCTGATGTTCTCTTTATGTAGGAACACACACCTTTGCCTGCCTGTGTTGCCTGAGCTACTGAATGTTTTGGAGTACATGAAAATTGGGCTCTGTGCTAAAAGACTGAGGTGTCTTCTGGAGTTGGGACACTCTGGGGACCCAAGACCTCTCTGTCCCTCACCTGCTCTGGCTTTCAGACCACATCATCCTGTCACAGGCCACTGACTCCTCCCCAGGACTGTTCCACCGTAAGTGAAGTACTAAGACATTCATGAGGTTAAAGAACGAACATGCCCTTTCCTGACTAGAGATTCCAGGCAAACTGCAAGTCTAAATTACTTACACGTTGAAACCCAGACAGCGCAAGTGCAACATAAATACTGTCCAAAACAAAGAGTTAACTTCCTCTAAAATTGAAGGGAAAAAGCTGCATGACCTACACCTCATTTTCTTGACTTTCCAAGAGGCATTAATTAATTGTCATTAAAACAGGGAACACTGTGCCCCCATAACCACCACCAAAATGGTCCTCAGGCCTGGATATTTGCTGACATCACTGCCCAAACACCACTCTGGGTTGTTATAAAGAACACAGACACAAAAACCTCATTTCAGCATGAAACTGAAGGATAACTGCCAATAAGGTCAAACCTGCTCCTTCTAATTCCAGTCCAATGTGCTTCAAGTACTTCCATTGTTTCGATATAAAAACAGCAACTCAGAATTGAGTTTTGGAGCCTAAACAAGTGGGAAGGTTCTCTAAGGGGAAAGGGAAGGACAGAGTTTCATGGGATGGGTCAGTCTCCTAGGGATTTTGTGCTGTAGCGTTAAGTGTTTCTCTCTTCCTCCCTGTGAGGATGATGAGGCACAGGTTTGCCCAGAGAAGCTGTGGCTGCCCCATCCTTGGAAGTGCTCAAGGCCAGGTTGAAACAAAAGGGTCTAGTGGAAGGTGTCCCTGCCCATGGCAGGAGGTTGGAACTGGGTGAGGTTTAAGGTCCCTTCCAACCCACTGGTCTGGGATTGAATGGTTCTATGATCATATATAAATTGCCTCCATTATTTATGGCAAAAGTTAAAATAGATGTTTTTTCACTTGCCTCTTTTGCACTCTCTTTGGTATTTTCCTTCTCTTCTGGATCTAGGGAATAATTAAGAATGAGGTAAGTCTGTGCACTTGAAATAAAATTAAATTATATACAGAGAAGTCTGTCTGGTTTGTGTATTTGCTGGTACTTTATACACTGCCAAGAGCCACTTGCAGGTGCAAAAGAGAAAAGAAAAGAAATAACCAGTGATGGTTATTTGCAGAGCGAAATACAAGTCAGCATTGTCTTTAAACAATCTGGAGTTGGTAGGACAGGCCAAACTCAGCCCTGACACCACAAGCAGGGCAAAGAACACATCACTGCTGCTGCTGTTCGAGGAGCAGCTGTTTGGCAAGGGAGGGAATTGGACAGGGAACAAGCAGGTGCTTCAGGAGTGTGAATTGCCATATGGAAAGCAGAGAAAGGAGACAATCTGCCACCTAAGCAGGAAGGATGGGAACAACAGCCTAAAAGCCTCAGAGAGGATGACCTGAAGTACCATCACAGCATTCTGCCCCACGGACCTGGTAACTGAAATTAACCACTTGTGTTGTGTGCAGCAGCAGCTCTGCACAGGCAAGCGCGAGCGAGTGCTGCAACTCACTCACACAGAGGGGCCACACCATGCAGTTTCTGAAGCTGTGTCGCTTTTCAAGGCTCAGATACCTAACTGAGGGCTGCAGGCAGGGGTCCAGGAGCGGGATTAATAGCACTAAATCCCCTCCTACCTACTGCAGTGTTCCAGTGAACCACTGTTAGGAAAACACTGATGCCCATCTTTTACATGCTAGTCTAGAATTAAACACAAACCTGACCTACATCATATTTTCTCTACTCTTTCCATCACCCTTCATGAATTAATGCTCAGTCTGTGGATTTTTAAGGCTTCTTTGGACTAATTTATAGGCAAAAAGTGCTTAAAAATCAGTTATTCTAAACCACACATTGAGTTTGGGGCTCAGCGACCCAACTTCCACCAAAGCCCCACTTCAGGCACTTCTGAAGATCTGCACCAGGTTCCCTCAAAAAAGACTCTCAAACAGGACAAGGATCAAATCTCCCTGCAAAGGTAAATGTTTGGGTTTGCAGACTCTGTTTTGTCACAGAGTAGCAGAGCCCAAGGTGTGCTACGCTCACTGCCCTTTGCTCACAGTTTGAAAAACACTTTTCCCCACCCAAAAAAAAAGCGTATTACCAAAATCT